TCCTCCGAGACCTCGAAGGGCAGAACTGAAAATTCTCGGCCAAGTGGAAGGAGAGGAAAAAAAAGAAGGATCAGACGAGCGACAGCGGATAGGAATCAGTCGAGAAGAAGGAAAGGTCCATCCACCATGATCGCCATCAATCCAAGCCACTTCCATTCCCTCCGCCCTTTCAGATACCATTCTCCTTTTATCCGCTGTGACTTCTTGATCGCATCCCAGAGTAATTGATTGCATGGCGACAACATATTCCCTCTCCATTACAAGAAAGCGATCTCCCTTCCTTATTTATCCCTTATTCTTTCCCGCATTTGTTCCTAACCCTAGCACCAATCTGCATGGCCGACGCTTCCCCCAAATTCCATCAACATCGCCCGGACCTCCTCCCTACCGCCGCTTACTCCGAGGCTGAGCTTCGTGTTTCTCACGACGGCATCGAATTCTGGCAATTCATGATCGCGGGATCCTTGGCTGGTGTTATCGAACACACCTCCATGTTCCCCGTTGACACTGTCAAGACCAGGATGCAGGCCCAATCTGCCCCATGCAGTTCTGCGCCCGCCGGCCTCCGCCATGCCTTGACCTCCATATTCCGACTCGAGGGTCCTCTCGGTTTTTACCGCGGTATTGGCGCAATGGGTCTCGGCGCCGGTCCCGCCCATGCGGTTTACTTCTTCGTGTACGAGAAGGCGAAGGTCTACCTATCTCGAGGAAATCCTAATAATCCCGCCACCCATGCCGCGTCCGGCGTGCTTGCAACGGTAGGAAGTGACGCTGTGTTCACGCCAATGGATACCGTGAAGCAGAGGCTGCAATTGAAGAGCAGTCCGTATCAGGGTGTGGTGGACTGTGTGTCTAGGATTTTCAGGGAGGAGGGCTTGAGGGCGTTTTATGCTTCGTATAGAACGACGGTGGTGATGAATGCGCCGTTCACGGCTGTGCACTTTGCGACCTATGAGGCTTCGAAGAGGGCTTTGACGGAGGTTTCCCCGGATAATGCTAGTGATGAGAGGTTGGTTGTGCATGCTACTGCCGGAGCAGCGGCTGGGACATTGGCGGCTCTGGTGACCACCCCGCTTGATGTGGTTAAAACCCAATTGCAGTGCCAGGTTAAGGTTTTCTATTGTTTTATGAGTCATTTGTTTAAATGATTGCTTATCATTACTTTGGTGCTTTATTTTGCTGTTGTTGTCTTATTATAGATGTTAGCCAAACTTTAGTTTGGCATACTCATTATTTGGGTGTGGCCAATTTTTTGTTTTTTTTTTT